TATTAAGTATGAGGTATTACAACATTATATTATGGTGATTGGTAATAGCTAATTGGTAATAGGTATTTTATTGTATAATATCCAACATGAAGTGTGTAAATTGAATTTTTCCATATGATCACATTCTCCTTATTCCCCAATCCAAATTCTGTATACCTGTGTAGAAGACAAGACTTAACAGAAGAATCAAAGAGACCAAGAAAAGCCCAAAAAACATTCTTCTTTTCCTCAAAAACCTCAAATGGAATCATATGAAACACAGTTATGCTCTACCATCACCTTTTATATATGATCAAAGCAGAATTTCTATATTAGTATGATATTTTTAGTATTAGTATGGCATTTGTATCAATGCACTTCTTTATTCACAGTCTGTTATCTCTGAGTGAAAGTAAGATAAAAGACTTACTGGAAGGGGCGGGGCCTTGGGCGGAAGGGGCAGGGCTGAGGGTCAGCCTCCCCCAGCCAGCCCTTCCACGCTGCCCAGTGACGTCCGGGGCTCCGGTGGCTATTTAAAGGGCCCGGTGCTCCGCCTGCTGCAGCAGCGGACAGGAGCCCCGGGCCCTTTTAAATTGCCGGGCCCCAGGGCAGCTGCCCCTTTTGCCCCCCCATCGGCGGCCCAGGGCAGGGGCAAAAGGGGGAGCGCTTTAACGTCAGCTGTGTACGGGGCCACTTCTTACCGATATGCCATACCGGCCCGTACTGCCCACTTTCACCTCTGCTGTTATCACTGTATGTAATGCAACTACACTCTGGAGCACTGTAATGAATTACGTGGATATGAGCCATATATAATTTGATATCAGAAATTATTTTATAGGAAGATGGTGGTTGTGGTGAGTTTCCTCCTGTTCCTGAGATACTGGAGCCAGATGACAGCTCCAAAATAGAAATGTAAGCCAGGAATGATAAAGGCCCCACTCAGGATGAAGCTCTCCCACCCAACCAAGGGTATCCAGAGGATAGAGAAGACATAGCAAAGCCCACCCATCACCTTTCCAATCCTCCCACTAGCTAATTTTTTTGGCCTTATGGGAAAGCCCCTATCCATGGCCCTCTGTGCTTTGTCCCTTTCCCTCCACTTCCCTTCTCACCCCCCTCTTTTAGGGTATGTCTACACTGCAATAAAAAACCCATGGCACAGTCTCTGAGCCCAGGTCAGATGACTCGGGTTCACAAGGCTCAGACAGAGGGGCTATAAAATTACAGCATAGACATTTGGGCTTGGCCCTGGGCTTTGCGACACTCCCAAATATCTACACTGCAATTTTATGGGTCTTTTATCATGCTATGGGTCTTGATATCACAGCATTGACGGCCCCTCTCACTCACAGGCTGCCCAGGACTGTAGTAGCTTTTGTGGTCCCAGCCAGGGCCGCTGAGAGCAGGTTCGGGCCCTGGTGAAAAAAAAATTTCGGCCCCCCCAGCAAGGGCAGACTGGCTAAATAGGGCTGACGAGAGGGTGGGGAAGCCAGGGAAGCCGAGCCCGGAATTTTTTCAGGCCCCCCAGCAAGAGTGGGGCTAAACAGGGCCGATGGGGGAGGGAGGAAAGCCAGGGAAGCCGGACCGCTGGGCCCCGGTCATTTGTACTGGCTTCCCCCCTCTCTCGTCTGCCCTGGTGCCAGCAGAGGGGAGACAAATGAGTTGGGATCTACAGAAGACTGGTTGAGCTGGTGGGGACTCATGCCTCTTCCAGCATCTCTGTCAGATTTGACGACAGAGTTTCTGCAGAGCCCCTTTGTAGTCCATAATGTGCTAGCCTGACCATATTCAGCTTTGGTCAGAAGCAGGCAAAGCTTCCTTATGCAGGAAGTTGGCATGTACCCCAAAATTTGGGCTCTCATTTCCCCCAAGGAGAGACAGTCAATTGTAAATAATAGTAATGGACTGACTACAGAAGTAGTTTCCCTAGCCACTTTAATAATGCTTTCAATTACTGCACATACCATTACAAATGCCAACACCCTCACTAGGGAGACTATTAGCAATATCAGCTGGAGATAATGCCCTATAAAGGACTCAGCATTGTTGTTTTTCAGTTCCATCTCCAACAGCTGCCCCCTTCAGGAAATTTTTGGATAGTGTAGGGGACAATTTCCTGGTGCAAGTGCTGGAGGAACCAACTAGGGGCAAAGCTTTTCTT